GCAAAATCACATTCTTAATTATCCACAATCATAAAAATTGCAGATAAATTTAGCATGTATTTAAATTATGCATTTCTAGAATATTCTATTAAAAAAAAGTGGTTGTGGGTGAGGAGATGGGGTCAATGATAAACTAACTCAATAGATGAAATGAAGAAAGAAAAAAAATAGTTGAGGGAAGCAGATACAAGGAAAACCTTTTATGCTGAACTTGACTCAAATTCACATCATAAAGTAAACAAATCCCTTCTATACAAACATGAAAATTGCAACACATCAGTAAGAAAGAAAGAAACCTTTGACAGAATTTCAGTTAAGGGACAAGTCAAAGTTAATATCAAATACACCCAAAGAAAAAGCATATCATAATAACAAAAACAACACATGGGAGGTAAAAAATAAAAAAAAAAACATTGATAAAAAAAAAAAAAAAACAAGGAGTGGGGAGAGAAAGGAAAACTTGAAAAATTAAAAGAATCAAAGTAACCTAGAAATAAAAATATTGCCAGTGAAAAAGACATAACCTTTTGAAGAAATATTTAATACAAGAAGCAACAACAGAATATAATGAGCTTTTTATCAACACCAGCCCTTGGAATTTTTTTATTTATTTTTCTGCTGAAGGAGAAAACCAAATAAATTTAATCAACAATTGTTTTATATATATATATATATATATATATATTTATATATATATATATATATATATATATATATTTTAACTAATTCCACAAGTGGGATTTGAACTCAAGACTGGGCCACTGCACATACATCCATAATTGTTTCATCAGGGGACAATATTTTCTAAGAACCAGTAATTATAACTAGGAAATGAAAATGTCAGCAATATGACCTTATATTCTACTAACAAGGAAAAGACGGAAATCAATATTTTGGTGGCTTGTATGCACTCTTGGGTTTTGAATAAAAGGGGAAATTGGAATAAGTGGGGAGGATGGAATTTTTTTCAAAGATTAATAAACATGTGAAGGAAGTTTAAAAATATGAAGCAGGACAAAGATTAGTCTATGGATGAAAGCTTCTCAAAAAATACATGATGGGAGGGATTTTTTCAAAATTAACAAGCTGGGGTTAAAACATGTATGTTTATTACAGACCCAAGAATAGAGAATTTAGAACATGGTATTTTTATAATTACTGATGCTTAATATCTGTAGTTCACTGCCCACCAAACATAGATAAGTAACTTTATCTATATTACTATGCAAATGTGCGATGTATGGCAAAAATGAAAGTTCTTCAAACCCAGTTTCTGCATGGATAACCATAAAAGGTTATGTAAAGTTAACTTTTGAAATCCCCAAAGGTCATCAAAGAGCATGGGATACCATTTCTAGCCAAATTAAGTGATTTCTATCAAAATAGAGTAACATACTGAGTTTGCTATGAAATACTAAAATGTTATTTGCTTTCACAAATGGAAGGATGGATAAGGTCCAATTCAACCTCAAAGGTCAGTGAAGGCAAAATATATTTAGTGGTCTTTGTGAGCTATATTATATCTAAACAATTATTTTGAGCATAAATTGGTATATAGGGATAATTTGGGCAGAAAAAGATGATAGAATAAGTGAGGCTAATCATTGATGACCATGGAGGTCACTAGAGGTTAATCTGTAGTTAAAATAGTCTTAATTTAGCTAGAAATGGTATTCCATGCTTTTGATGACCTTTGGTGATTTCAAAAGTCAACTTCACATATCCTGCATCATTACTCATAGTTGAATTTTAGTAAAATTTGAAAATGTTGGTATTTTAGTAAAATTTGAAAATGTTGGTATTTTAAAATTTCTATTAGATTTTCTGGGGTTTTTTTTAAAATAATTTTGATATTAATTTTTTTCTTACTCTTTTTCTTTCAATTGTATAAATTTTATGCAAATTTATTCAACTGCTATATGATTGAATAGTTTCTTTGGAAAGGTGTTTTTAATCTATTTAACATTTGACATTACTGTTGTTAAGGGAGATGTTAATGACCTTATAGAAATGTGTGTTTCAATTGCCATTGATTAGTCATTTGTTTGTACCCATAATTTCTTAAAAATGGTAACTGACTCAACATTTAATTATTGATTAGACTATTATTAATTCAATTAATAAAAGAATTATGTTAATTTCATGTTGATTTTAACTTTATTTTAAGAATAGAAACATGAACGACCACTTATCTCGATCATTCCCCAGGGCTCTATTCTTGAACCCACTCTATACCTTAATTCAATCAATGACCATCCTTATGCTATAATTTCTTAACTCTGTATCTACACTGATGACAACTATTTACTCCTGTCTTAATAGAATGCTATTGATAAAATCAAACTGTCAGCTGATCTCAAAAATTACCTTCAGTCTGTTGCTAACTGGGGCAAGAAATGGCTTGTTAATTTTAAAGCCTCTAAAACAAAACTACTCTCTATTAATCATCTTAGAGAACTTTTTTTGCCTTCCATCAGTATAGCTGATGCTAATCTCCCATTTCTTGGTCTCATGTTTTCCACTTACATAAAGTGGAATGAATATATTGAATCAACTGCTAAGTTTGCCGCTAGGAAAATTGGTTCCTGTGCTAGACAATTTTTCTTGCCAGAATTTACCTTATGCATCTATAAGTCTACTATTCACCTGTGCATTGAATGTTGCTGGCACATCTGGTTTGGGGTTTCTGCTAAATGTAAAGAGATTCTTGACAAAAAACAAAAGCAGAATCAGCAATGTTATCAGTCCTGACCTAGCATCTCAGCTTCAATCACTTTCCCACTTCTTTAATGTAGCTTTCTTTTGACTCTTCTAAAAGTATTTTCATGGAAATTGTTCTGATGAGCTTTCCTCATTTATACCTTGACTTCAAAAGTTTAAGTGCAGTACTAGATTGGCTGCTAGGTCTCAATTTCACTATTGAAATTGCTAGTTGTACTGAGTATCATAGGTTCTTCTCTTGCACTTCTCACTTGTGGAACACTCTTCTGGTGTCTTGATTTCCTGTCATCTATGATCTTAAAACATTTAAATGAAATATCAACTGTCATCTTCTCTCTTCTTGAATCCTGTTCTTTTATTGTGTTCCCCATTTCTTTCAGTCTCAGTAAGCCCTTGTATTGACCTACCTAGAATGAAATGATTAAAAAAAATGAGAACTTAAGTCCCTGACTCTATAGATTACAATTAAAAATACTTTTTAACTTATACTCTCATTTTTAGTTTATAATTCTATGATAAATTGAGGACTATCATGAAGGTTGACTGAGCAAAAACTAAAAGACAACAAACTTTTATGCTGGATGCTTAGAATGACACATTACCTAGGAGAGTTTTGACTCTTTTCAGAACTTTAAAACATAAAAAAAAATAGCTTAAATAGCAAAACTGGAAAATGCTTTTTAACATAGTTTTTCTTAAAGAGCACAAAAAATGAAAATATATTATTTATATATGAAAATGTAACTGCTATTGAAAAACATGTAATCCATAAAATGAAAAAAATAATTAGATTAATAAGGTTTCTGGGTGCACAACATTAATGCTTCTTTTATTGGGTGCCAGTATGAAACAGTTAAAAATAGAAAAAGCATGGCAAAATTCAGTTGGGCCAGCAAGAGATTGGGCCTTGTTGATGGTCATAAAAATGATGAGGATCACTGAACTGCAATCATTTGAATTCAAAGTACAAGTCTCTTGAAATTATAGGAGATCCTGAAAATGAACGTGTCCACCTATCCTAGTTAAGATTGTTTCTTCATTGTAGAAGAAGCTGTTTGATAGATGAGTTTTGCTATACAATTTTAGAGGGTAGATATATCTGAGAAATATAGTGGGTGAGCCTATATTTAGTTAAAACCTATTGGGTGGAACACCATGCAGCTCAAGAGAGTTAAAGAACTTGGTTGAATTCTGAATAACTTTCCAAGTAACTGGAATTGCTAACTGACTTGTACAGCAGAAATTCAATTGGAATTTGTTGTAACGACTATGAGTTTATTTTCTTGATTGCTTTATTCTTTGGAATAAGAATTCCTTGCACACATTTCCAGAAATTTACTTAAAATTCCTCAATATCCTATTAAACTGTTCACTAAAGACAAAATGCTTCTTTTTTATATCATGTCTCTTCAGAATGTAGGCAATCATGGCTCAACAAATTCCTATATTCTGTAGCTCTAAGCAATATTTGTCTTCATAATATCCCTCTCAGTTTCTACTCTGCTATCCATTTGTACAAACTTTTTAGATAGATTGCTCACCATTTCCCACTGTTACTCATGCCTTCAATATATCCTGTAAGCGTTAAATTCAGCAAGATACTTTCTTCATCATGTGCCCTGGAAATTTCAACTGTCTTTTTCTGATTCAGAGTACAAATGTCCTTTTTGTTTTCATATTCCTTAAAACTTATTTCTCACATGTTCCATCCATGGTATTCTGCACATTCTTCAGCAGAACCACATCTCTATTGCTTCACTTCTCTTCTTTGAGGATGATATGCAGCATTCACTGTCATATAAGACAACTGATATTACATTGCAGTTCAGCACTCTTTTCTTTGTTTCTAATAAAATTTTCCTATTTCTGAATACTTTGCTTAGGTCTTTTTGATTCCAAGCACAAGTTTACCAAGTATTAAACAATATTTTACATTGAAACTTTTAACCAATATCATCTATATAACCATTCAAACTTTTATTCATGGCAAGAAGTATAAAATATTATGATGATACAACAGTTTTTATCTGTAAACATGAATAAGTTTCATATCTAAAGCTAAGATCTGTTCCCTCCTTTTTCTTACAGCAAACAGATATCAACAAAGCAAAACAATTAACAACATATAGGTCAATCTTCAACTTATAAAGTTCTAGACCATTTCCTTAAATCTGACCAAATAACCAAAGATTAGAATTTGTTTTCAAATACCATCTTGGTCAAGCTGAGAACTTTTCAGTACCCACTCACATATTTTTTTCTCATTGTTGAGAGGTTTACAGCTATATCATGTTGAAACTTCGATTCTCATACAATCACCAAAGTGAAGCAATGTCGAGCCTGGTTAGTACTTAGATGGGTGACTGTTTAGGAATACCAGGTGCTTTAAGTTTGGATTTGCTGATGGTGTAATAATGGCTTAGAATGAGAAATCTGAGAGCCAAGTTCCAATTCAAGTCAGGTTCAATATATTTATTCACTTACAGGTAAATATACTTGGGAAAGGTATGAATCCAACTTTCTGTCCTCCAGTTAACTAGAAGGGCATGTATCAGTAAATCATTAATATCTACAAAAACATCTTGAAATATTTTCTGTCTTTAAAATAACTTGCAAAGGGTTGATAAGCCATAAAAAAAAAATCAATCACATTGTTGAGAGATATCAATTTTAATTTTTCTGTATGACAAAGAAACATCACAGATGTCTTTAAAAATGTGGAAATCCCTAAGTTATAGTTGTAGAAAAGTATTCACTTACCACCTTTAACCATTTTCTTCTTGCCACTAATTGGGTGTTTCCATTGGGTTGATTTGGTGGCATGACTAAAAAGAGAAGAAAACATAAAAATATCAAAAATTCAAATATTAAAAAAAAAAAAAAAGAAGAAATGGAGGAGGAAACCAAGTTCTCTGTAAATATTTAAATTTCTATGCCTAAATTAAAATTATTTCAAAATTGAGAAATTGATAAAAATATTTTTAAGAATATTATGACATTCATTAGATTTCAGTTTTAAATGGTACGATAAACTAGCAGAGAAAAATAATCAGAGGAAATGAGAAACTTGAAGAAAAACAAAGAATTTAAAACCAAAAGTAAAAATGGAACTATTGAGACCCAAAATTTATCTGCAAGCATTAAAAAAGAAAAAAATATCAGAAGTCCTAAAAGTAATATGCAAATTAAGAGATATCCTACTTACAATCGCCATGGGATAATAAATTGTATATGCACTAAAGATACTTTATATGCGAGCAGTTTACAGAATTGATGTGCAGCCATTTCAAATACATGTCAAGAATTATAGGCCTTATCTCAGATTATTTTATACAACAGTCATTTATAGTGATATCCTTTAAATAAATCCAGAGTTAACATTTATATTTGCAGCCTTTGACGTAAGAAATGCATAGAGGCACCTCCATGAACTCCAACATATGTCAATAAAGCAATACAAAAATTGTAACATGTTAAAATATACAAAAATAGAAAGTGGTGTAAGACAATGATGTGTTTTCTCACCAGACTTATTTAACCTATACAGTGAGGCAACTCTGAGAGAAATGAAAGTCTACCAAGATTCAATATTAGTGACCACAATCTTAAAAACATAAGATATGCTAATAGTAAACAGAGAAAGGAAACTACAAGAACTCCTACATAAAGTGGTGAAGGAAAGCAAGAAGAAACTGACTAAAAATCAATTGTAAGAAGATGGGATACATGGTTGTTAGCAAAAGAAACAGCCCAACATATAAATTTCAAATTGGAGATACGAAAATCAAACAAGTACATAAATTTAAATATCTTGGAAGTGTTTTAACAGATTACAGAAAGTGCAAGACTGATATGTGAAGATTTTGGAAGAGCAAAAGATGTCTTCCAAAAGCTAAGCAAAATATAAAGAAACAGAAAAATTTTGTTACAAAGTTAAGATTACTGAATTGTTACATAATATCAGTCCTCTTATATGGCAGTGAATGCTGGACAATCTCCTCGCAGATAAAGAAGAAACTTTAAGCAAAATGTGGTTCTATAAAAGGATGGTGAAAATACCATGGACCAAACATGTGACAAAGTTTTAGAAACAATGGAAACAAAAAAGACACTTATACATAGTATCACAGGAGATAGTTAAAATTTCTAGTGCACATAATGAGGAAAGAGGGCCTGGAAAATTTGATACTCAAAGGACTGACTCAAGGCAAAAGGGACAGAGGAAAACAACTCAAAATGTACCAAGCAAGCTTGAATTGGATGATGAAACAAGATTATAGCAAGAATAACAAAAAAGCAAAGTTTATTAAGAGCTACAAAATACAGGAAATTGTAGAGAGCCATGATCACCAATGTCCTGAAGGGACACAACACATAGAAGAACCACCTTTGTGCTATTCCTAAGAAAATAAAATTCTGATAAAAATTATATACGGAACTAGATCTTTTATCTAAATTTCTGGGATGAGGTGTTATCATTACTATTTACATTTATCCTCATCTTTGTTTTCATTATCACATTGTGCACTCCAGCCTTCATTAGGTATGAATTGATCTGGGTAACTGCTGTGGATTCCGAGATGAAATTTGGTCTCCAATGAATGACAAACGCAAGAATTAAATATAAGAAATTAAATGTATTTACACAATAATACAAGGGGTAATACTGTTTGTAAATACAGGAATGCGGTTAGTAGCAATAATATATATATGTGAAAATATATAGAAAATAGGAAGGAACTGGTTAGGTAAATAGTCCAAAGTTCCTTAGTATTTTTGTTATTATTTTTAAAAAATAGTGCTCGATACAAAAGTAGAGCATAAATATAATTATTTATTTAAAAATATGATTCCAAATCGCTACATAAGAGGTCTCATGTTTCAAAACAAGAGCCGAAAACTTCAATATAATCCTTTAAATTAAATTGAGTTTAAAATAAATTCGCTTGAAGATGGAACGGAGCCCTTTTTAATTTCAACTCAATTTAATTTAAAGGATTATATTGAAGTTTTCGGCTCTTGTTTTGAAACATGAGACCTCTTATGTAGCGATTTGGAATCATATTTTTAAATAAATAATTAATTATATATATATATATATATATATATATATATATATATATATATATAGTCTTGAAGTAGGACTTCCTTAGAGTCTATGTGTTTGTAACTGACTTCTACAAGCGGTTATCTCACACTATTACTCTACCTCCAACTTAATCACAATCTCTGCTCACTCTCAATCTTTGTCTCAATCTACGATCTGACTGACCGTCTAACTCTGGGTATTTAACAGCAGCCGTCCAAGTACATACTGGTAGAGTCCACGTGCATGAAAAAGGGGTGGACCCCATAACAGTAACCTACAGAGAATGAAGGGCACGACTGCACAATGACAGTGTGATAGCAACAAAGTTTAACAACAAGTGTCCAAAGGTAAATCATGTAAATAGAGATTTTATCTTTGAAGAGTTGTCCTCATCAGCAGATTGAATTTCTATCTTCTCTTTGTTTGTGGTATTATATTATTCTTATGTTACTTATTCATTTCATTTTTTTTTTAACCCATTAATCCCCACCATCCAATTTTGGGGAAGATAAGCGTTAATGGGTTATAGGTAGAAATTAATTAAGTATTAATTTAATTAATTAAATATTAAGTAGAAATAATAGATTTTTTATAAACCTATAATTAATAATTTTATTTTAGAAGCCATTAATCAATATCAGATTTTATTTTAATTTTTATAATTAAAGATTATTTTATAGTAGGTTAATGCTCTCTTCAGGACATAGGCATTTATGACTCTCCACATCTTCCTTTTATTTATTATCTGTAAACTGTCATGGCTTCTTGGAAAAGACAGGAGTGGTTTCTCACTGCCTTCTCCACAATTCTGAATTCAGAGTTTTCCTTCTCTTAGGCTGGTTGCCACCCAAGTTTAGAGAGTCTAACCCATAGCTGGTGAGGAAAAGTGACGGATTCATGCTTTTTCCAATTGCATTTGTGCAAAAATGACAGCAACAGCGTACATCTGAATTTGAACTCAGCTCCCTGATTCCACTTTTTATGACAATAACCATTACATTAGCCACAAACACACACACACACACACACACACCTATTTCTTCATTTCTGTTAGAATAAACTGAAATTTCTCAACCTCAAAATCAATATATATTACACTTATTGTAATGATCTCTAGATAAAACAGTTCTCAATCTAACAAGAGAGACAGCGCAAAGTGTGAGCTACAATTTATAGATGTTAGAATCCAGCAGAAATTTAACTATCTAGCTCGAGGGTACCCAAACGGTGTGGTGCACCTCATAGTTGCAGCAGAAGAAGATAGTAAATGAGGTGGAATGATTAAAATAAAATCAAAGACTTAGTAACAGTTTTAAAAAAATTATTCTCCAAAAATAAATATGATTTCAAAATTTAAAACATGATTATGGATTACTTGTAATTGCATGCATGAGTTCCAGTATAAATAGTTATAAATAATTATTGACCAATTTTATCAAATTAGGAGACAGTTAACAATATTCTGACTTTGAATCTGCAGTTATCTCCCTTTAACTCTCTTTTGGCTTTTTTTATTTTTAAATGTATTTTTTATCACATAAAATTTGGTGAGATATGAGCAAATTTTCATTCCGAAAATGCAACCCAGAGAAAAAAAAGTCAGGGAGCCACTGATTTATCTATTGTCATAACAGATGACAGAAAATGTAGAGATATGATAGTGTATTGAAACAGCAAAAGATGCCTTCCAGAAACTAAACAAAACATTAAGAGATAAGAAAATTTCAATAGAAACAAAGAGAAAAGAGTGCTGAATTGCTATGTAATATCTATCCAACTATATGGCAGTGGATGCTGGACAATTTCCCCACAAATGAAGAGGAAACTTGAAGCTAAAGAGATTTTGTTATACAGAAGGATGCAGAGAATACCATGGATGGAACATGTGATCAACAAGGAAGTTTTATGGAAAGTGAAAAGTATACTTATACTTACAATCAGAAAAAAGATTCAGATTTCTGGGACACACAATAAGGAAAGAGGGTTTGGAAAATTTAACACTCACAAGACATACTGAAGGCAAGAGAAGCAGAAGGAATGAATAAATAACTTGTAAATGTAAATGGATATCATTGAGACTGAGAGGGATGGTAAGGGAACAAACATTGCTTAGAACTACAAATGACAGAAAAATGTGGAGAGCCATGATTGACCATGTCCTGAAGAGACATGGCACATAAAAATAGATTTTATTCCTTAAAGAAAATTATGATGTTTCCTCAGTTCAGTTTCATCGGATAGAACCCCACAGACCTCATGATATAATTTATCCCCTATTTTTTTCTTATTAAATAAT